AATATCCATTTAGTTTTGACAATTACAATCAGTATAAAAATTAATTTATCATATTAATAATAATAATCTATATTCGAAAATAACACATTTGTATCGTTGAGTATAAAATTATTCCTTTAAATATCAATGCCGAAAACTTCATATCTTAACGTTTCTTTAAAATTTTCAAATTTAACGGATCGTTTTGTGTTTTCCTTAAAATTTTTGTTGGTATAATACTCACGAGTGTTACTCATAGAAGAGAGAGAGAAAAAAAAACAAAAAACAAACCAAATGTTTTAACAAAATAATAATAATTAATCATCGTGTAAATTTAACGCTACTTGTTTAATTGAAAAAGAGACTTGCGACAGAGAGAGAGAGAGAGAGAGAGAGAAGCTTACTTTAATCACTAAATAGCAAAAGATGGAACTTTGATCTGTTGCGTGCATTATTAAGTGAGTATGTGCGCCAATGTATTTTGAATGTAATTTTTAAACAGTGTGTAAATATTGAAAGAGAAATATATTTCTGCTGACATAGAATTTGTTTAACACTTATTTCACTTGATAAGCGAACAGACACAAATAAATTTATAAGCATCAAATTATATTTAGTGGATATTAAGCGGACACGCGCACTTGCTTCTTATTCCAAATTTTAACATCGTATATGAGATTATTTTTTATTTCCAGCAGATAATAAATAAGACATGTTAGGCACTGCGTAAACATTATTTGATTGTTGACAATGTTGTCGTGTTACATTGTACATATTATATAAAAGTTATATTTTAAAGGCGTTAATGGCCATTTAGCGACATGAAGATAATCTAGATCATTTTGATTTTTATTTCATGAACTTATACATCGACTATAAATCAGTAATAACCTAACTACGTTTCATAATTTATTACTTTTCTATTTAATATATATATATATATATATATATATATATATATATATATATATATAGATACGTTTAACTATATATAAATAATATATTCAAATATTATTACTTTGTAAGCTAAACGTAAATTATTGATAAAGTACATAAAATCAAAACCAATGAGATAATAATAGTAATAATAATAATAATAATAAAAATAAAAAAAGTATGCCTTTAAAGTACAAATTATATTAATTATAGTGAAATAAATAATTCAGAAAGTATCAATATACAATTAGTAGTTTCAGGCATTTATTTACATACAATGAAAAGAATTAACATATTGAAACATATTCTACGAGATGAATAATATTTTTATAAAAATTGTCAAAGAAAATAAAAAATAATTTATTTTTAATATTTCGCTTGAAATAAATCAGAACAATCCGACTCCTTTACTCGTTCCATCTTTAACGAATAATTTTTTTATTCTCTACTTTATATTTTACGTATATTACTATCTAAATGATGTAATTTTTTTTTTTTTTTTTTTTTTTTTTTTTTTATTTTTTTTTTTTTTTTTTTTTTTTTTTTGATAAATTCTGGTAATGAATGTTATTATTACTATAATGAAAATCAATCATAAAATAATCAATCGATCATTCTATTTGATGAATAAATAAATTCGAACAAATGTAATATTTAGTACTTTTTAAGTCTTTTCTGTTTAAATGACAGTTTGATCTATACATAAAATAAAATAAAATAAATATTTATTTATCATAAATAATATATTATCACAAATTTTAATTTCTCTTATAGTGATACACAACCCTTTATGGTTATTACGGATGTTATATATTTTATTAAGATATCAATTACTAGATTTTATTTAAAATACCGATTAAATATTCTTATATTCATAATATAGTAATCACTTTTTACCTAAAATGATTCCAACGTTGTTACGAATAAAATATAATTATTTTATCGAATATATCATTTTAAATGTGAATATCGAATCATAAATTAATAAAAGATGAAACAAATATTTATTACGCGTATGAACGTGTAGACAATTAGAAAAATAAAATGCCAAGCTAATGTAAAATATTATCAGTTGATAAAACAAATTCTGAAAACTTCTTCATATATAAAATATACGTCGTAGTAAAGGAAAAAAAATATATATATATATATATATATATGATATTATAAAAAAAAACTAAATAGAAAGAGAAAGAGAATAATGGAAAATCAAAGTTTTATGAATTACACCTATTAGGCACCAATTTTCTCAACGTCAAATGTAAAACAAGAATAGTTAATATATCGGCAAAATATTAATTTTTAAAGTCTGAGTTGTTGTAATATGTTTGTTTGTGCACATATGGAGAAGAAATGAAGCAGCGAAAATACCATACAATGAACGAAATAACTTATTTAGAAACATTATACAATTGAAATAGTAACGAAGACTATCGATTCTCATTTCATCCAAATTGTAAATGTTTTTGTAAATGTTCATTCATTTAGAACTTGAAATATTATCCGCTGAAGAGAGGTAAATTTTTTATCTGAATAAAAAATTAAGAACTAATGAAACAAAGAAAATGATCGATATTAATCCCATTCGTATTTTTATTCTCTACATTGAAAGCACAATACTCATTACAATACCAAACAAAAATAATAAAAAAAAAAAGATGGAAAATAAATGTCTAAATACTGAGATATAATTAAATTATAATTGAGCGAAGCGAAGCATAAGGGCAAAGTTAAACGTATATCAATGTTTCATATATTTTTTAACACTTTCCATCATATATTCTTTTACAATTTTCTTCTCATCCAAATGCGTCGATATGCTTTTAAATTGTTCCGAGAGTGCGATTAAGCAATGAAATTTTAATATAATTAAATGTGATCTTTGTAATATGAAAAAAGATACATTCTTTTACTTAAGTGCATAAATAAAGTATGTATGTGTTTTCAGCGATTCTCAAGGTCATGAATTTCAAATCAAAAGTCATAATTTTGAGAAAAATATTTTGACAAAACAGCACGTATCGAGACTTTTACAAACTTTATAGTCAGAGACTTTAGAGCATTGATTTTCAAAATTAATCGGCCTCTGCAGAGAAAAATATTATTAATATACGACAATACCATTCTCTAGTGTTTGGAAAAGTGAAAAAGAACAATTAGGTAAAGCATTCGTTATTTCAATATATCCTTTATACATTCAGCATCGAAAACTAGGTATGTATATTATTTACTTTTATGAACTTTTATGAACTTTTTTGTAATTCCTGTCTTTATATATATATACACATTATATCACTATTAGCGTTTTATAAATTTCTAAAAACTTTGCAATAATGAGTTTTGTGAATCTTTCACATTGTCGATTGACATTTTTTTTTTATACGGTTTTTTTGCCTTTTCTTGCACAAGCACTTGAAAATTGTTTATTTTGATCAATTATATTTTCCAATAAAGCTCAACCAACTGACTTTATTATCGTACATCTAAATAATATAATTACTGTAACGACACAATGCTTTTGAAATATTGAAATTTGTAAATATTAAATTTGTAATCGAAGTATGCATCGACGTAAAAATAAATATGCGCGCGTGTGCGTGAATTCGATTGAGAAGGGCAAAATTTTTATGAGAATCTGCAAAAGATTTGTAAATATATTAATAATAGAAAATTTTACATCTAAGCAATTTTCTCTCGTAAACTAGAACAATGCTTTGGCTGATAAATAATGTCGTAGATACAAATATGTCTTTACAATAATAGCGCACTTACTCTTTCTTCATAAGATTGTTTAGAAAATAAAAATCATTTAATCGATGATTTTACATTATGTAAAAAGCACTAAATATGTATATATTATTATACTGGGACTGGATTTCTGTATTTAATTCAACAGCAATTTACGTAAAAATATATTTTTTTTACATACATAAAATGCCGATTCAATATTTTTTTAATCGTGTAAGTAAGAAATATTATTTGCAGAAAAATGTAAATTATATACTCATTATTCTCTATATTTTGTAATACATGAATTTCCATTTATATTTTATTAGAATTACAAATAAATAAATCCTCTTCATTTAGACAAAAATTATTATAAATATAATTGTATTGATTAACAGATTATAATTAAAATGTATGTATCAAGTTTATTATTTCAACAGTCTGAAATTATAATTATTAAAAATTCTACAAGTCTTATTGCGCGTAGAAAATTTTCTTTGTAATTCGTTCGTTAAATTATTTAACAAAATTAATCCTTTTTTTTTTTTCAATCAGATCTATTGCAATATTAAAGGAAGATAAACTCTAAAAAAAAGAAAAAAAAAGAAAAACGAGCAAAACCACGTTATCATTAATATGTCCGCGTATGACGAATTCCGTACAAATTAAATGATTGTAATTCAATTTATTTTGCCTTTATAAATAAATAATAGAGAGAATGTCGAAATATACGGATTATGAATACAAAGAATAAACATAGGAATTAAATATGGAGAAAAAAAAAATTATTATAATAAGTCTATAACTTTGATCAATAAATAAAGCAGATTATAAATATCATATAATATTGATACGACGATAATACAAAATGATGCTAATTATTAATAAAAAGAAAATAATATTTATATATGTATATTAAATAAATACAAGTTACATGTATTTTACGTAAAAAGATAAATAAATGAAGAATAAATGATCTTTCTTTACATTATAATTGGAATATATATATATATATATGATATGATATTGTAACGAATCTTTATAAATGTCATCAATCAAGTGACGAATCAACGTTATTGAAGGAAGAACTGTGTGGTCTTGAAAAGCAAATTTTAATAATCTATACCGTATGCTAGATTATAAATGTTAAATGAAAATTCTTAAATCATTGTATATAAAAAGGAAACGAGAAATGCATATTATAATATTGTATGAGAAAATAAATATATGTACAAATTCTTTGTGTGTGCGCGCGCGCGTGTGTGTGTATAAATACGCTAACATTTTTTGTATTTCATTTTATACATTTAAAAAAAAAAATAAATAGTTTATAAAGCTTATTTTTGATTTATTGTTTTACAGTTTTTATGATTTACTATTTACATATATTCTATATAATGATGTTTTCAGTTATTGTTTTTAATGCGGAGCTGGTTTATGTCCGTCCACATAAAAGTTACGAGTAATTTGAGGTAATTGCAATTCCATACCGTCCAATTCTTTTGTTAAAATAATTTGACAGCCTAGAACAAATAAGTCATGGATGATAATAATTAAAATTGAAGCTTTTCCATCCCTTTGAGCACGACTTTTAATTATTTGTTGCTTGGAATTAATAAACTCAGTACTCTCAGGGTAAATATATTTATATATTGATATAACCTAATCTAGAATTTTCTTTTAAACAAGGCGCTAGATCCAATAGATCATCCTCTTTCTCTTCGGCTTGTGGAAGTCTAGAAATATAATCGTAATTGACATAAACATGGCAAGTTGTACATGCCAATGAAGCTTCACAAGCACCTTCCATTTCAATATTATATCTGTGCGCTAAATAGAGAACATTATCTCCAACTTTACCTCTTATTGGTATTTTCTTCCCATTTCTGTCGACATATATCACATTAACACTGAAACAAATTGTTCAGCAATAATTAACAAAATAAATTGGCGCACTATTTTTAAGAGAAATTATTATTATTTTAGATTATGTACATGAAGTTACCTACATCTCGTCATCGGTTTTTGGATCCTGAAATTCATATTCTCCATGTAGAAATTCTGCAGAAAACAAATATAAATGACAATTAACTCATCTTATATCCCATATTTGTTTGTTTGTTTTTTTTTTTTTTTTTTTTTTTTTTTGTTCTTTTTTTGTTCTTTCTTTTTTTTGTAACTGTTAAAATTTTTCAAACCAAAATAATTTGCGAAGCCGACAAATGTTAAATTAAAAGTAGAGTCGATAAATAATCTTAGCATCGATACTCACCAGGAGTTCTGTAAAATTGGGCATTTGTACTTCTTACGATATTTCTTAAATTTGTACATTTTCGCGTGTAATTCTTTAAGAAGGCGATAGTACGAAACGCTAATATCATCTTATTGTCTCGGAAAAAAATTCGCTTCTACACACCATAATATTCTAAAAATTCGAGGGCCCTTTCTTCTTATCACCGGTTCTTCGGCACTTTTATTTTTCAGCGATATTATTGATAAAAAGTCGGCAAGCGATCAGTACCTTATATCGACCTTTTTATTTTTCTGTTCATAACCTTCGCATAAACATGTGTTGAGAAAGGCGCAGGCGCATTACCCCAAAAAGACCGTATAAAAAACGTCTATTGTACATTTGTTCTAGATAACGGGGAAAGGTTAAAACGCCGCCAGTGTTTATAAAAATAATTTTATATAAAATCGTTGAGCATAGTTAGTAGTTGTGTTGTAAGTTCGTAACGGCGGCTAAGCCTGCTTGTGTTGGAGATGATATTCCGTATTTGTATTTGAAGGGGCACAGGTGGAGGAATTGCCGTTACTGCATCGCGTTCACTTAAATCACGAAGAGGCTTTTATAGACGGAAAATATTGTTTGCCCTTCAGTTCCCTTCAATTGGAGTTCCTACCTGCTATTTGCAACCTCATACTTAACACCTATCTCTATGTAAAGTAATATAATTGAATTTAAAGACTGTATACACATACATGGACGAACGCACGCACGTACACAAAAAACATAGGACAAAAAAATAAATATTTCTATGTACGAATTTTACTTTCCGATGGAATTCAAAATTCCTCAGTATTTAATTTTCATTCGCACTAATAGTATTCGCGTAATTGATTAGTTGGCAGGCAAATAAACGTCCTAAGCGAATAAGTAAATCATACTGGCTGTAATTTTATTTTTGCAGATTTTAATATGGTTGTACTAAGTAATTTCTTAGCACCACAGGATGGAATTCGCCACGAAGAGCAAAATGCAACTTTATACATAAATAATCGAGAAATTGGCAAAGGAACTTTATACATCACAGAAAGGTCATATATAAGCAAATAAAGTCTTATTTTGTTTTAAGCAACTGGATATAATTTTCGTGCGAATATCTTAATTGTCGATGCACCCATTGCACAATGCTCAATTTTTATTCATTTAATATGTATAAATTTATAATTGTAATCAATGCCTTTTACAAAGGTGCATCAAACAGTTTTGTTAAATTAGTTTTAAAATAATTTCCACTCAAACGAACTCGAATTAAAACACAAATTTATTCATGTAGAAACGTCGATTGTACAGATTGTAAAGATGTAAAAAAACTTGTAAATTGCTTTTTACAGTGTACTCTCTTGGATTAACAATGACACTAGACAGGGATTTTCTTTAGAATACCTTCATATATCGTTGCATGCTATTTCTCGAGATGTGCAAGTTCATCCCAGGCAATGTCTATATATGATTGTCGATATTAAGGTAGACTTTCCAGGTAAATGTCAACGACGATTAGTCTGAGTAGCGATAGTCTAATTGCATTTTAATTAATTGAACATCGGCACGATAACGCGTTATTTTAACTCTTGTATTTACGAATGCTTGTCTTTGTAGATGACCCGACGCTAGAACCAAATGATAATAATGAAAGTAATACCGATGATAATAACGACGACGACGACGACGACGACTCGGATGCTCCAATAACTGAAATGAGATTTGCACCGGATAATATAAATAGCTTAGAAGCTATGTTCCAAGCAATGAAAGAATGTCAAGCGCTTCATCCTGATCCACAAGACAGTTTTTCAGATGGTAATTCAAATATTTCTTATCTTAACACGAATATAGAGAAATTAGCATCTTAATATTAATAATGCCGTCAGTGGCTTCTCACATCTCATTTATCGAATCATCGATACTTTATTTCATGTTTAAATTCACTTTTTCTTTTTCTCTAACGTAAAGCAGTAAAATGTAAGATAAAACATTTTCAGCAGAAGAAGATATTTACGAGGATGCCGAAGAAGATGACTTTGAGTATTACGAAGTAGGCGCTGGAGATGCCCCATACATTATTCCACCGGGTAAGAATGAAATATTGTAGTATTGTTTAAATTTAAAATTGTTTGATATTAATTAATCGGTAAATGATTGTTAATGACTAATTACATCGATGTTTAAATTGTTTAAAGAACGTTCTTCATTGTAAATTGGAATTAATTTAGTAACCTTAGAAATTAATTATTCTTATAAAAATGATAAAATATCATCGTGTATTGTTGTTGAAAATCTTTTAAAATTTTTATACGTTAATTTTAGATCAAGTGGGCGCTAATCATAATGGCACCGAAACGGAAGAAGTTATGGACGTAGAGGCAGGGCAATTTGAAGATGCCGAAGAAGATCCTTAAGAGAATAGAAAATGCTATATCGCAGCTTGTATTCTTCTGCATTTAGTTACAATAATCGATTCTGTGTTATTCATTTTACGCATATCCCCGTAGATAAAACACTAATCATTATCGCATGCACAGAAAAGATGTAACAAATCTCTCAAATCACTGAACTTTATATTCATTTTGTACATGATGGTTTCATAAATAAAACATAATTAACTAAATGTAAAAAAAAAAGAAAGAAAAAAAAAGTAAAAAAAAAAACAAACACTTGCTTTTTCGTTACGAAATACACGTTTTGCTTTTTATAAAACTCAATATTATTTATTATCATTCACAGAAAGTGTAATAAGAGAAATAGTAAAAAAAAAAATGACTTTATTGAGAATAATTTTTTAAAGTTAATTTAATTATGGTAACAATTTTCTCGGAGCCATCTGCGTTTGTCTGTCATTAGGACACTGTCGCAATGCCAATAGTGACTGTTTAAGAAGCTTCGTATACAATTTTACAAATGATAAATGATGTAATAGGCACAGTCGAACGAACTCGATAATCCAAGAATTATTGTTGATAGAGGAGCCTAAGCAAAAATTTCCTACTTAACCCATACATTGGCGAAGCTATTATTTAAAATTCTATGCGATACCATAATTTGATTACATCATCTCAATATCTCAAGCATTTGTTTAATAAATTTCTATTATTACAAAGCTGTATTAAAATACGTTTAATTGTTTTGTTATCTTATTATAAAATGTTTATAAAATAAAGGTATTCAGTAAACTATAAAAATATGTTATAACTGAAGACTTGTAGTGTAAATGAAATTAAAAATAAAAAAGTAAACTTCAATAATAAATGTCTCGGTAAGATATACGTTAAATTTATTACCTTTACCATTGCGTGGGTGTTGCGAGTGTATTCTTAAAATAGCATCTCATCATATTTAATGTAAAATTTCAGATAAAAATGCGCCTTGCACCTACTAATCGCTCTCCCAACGTCAGTCATTCCTCCATTTACCTTAATGTACGGGGGGGGGGGGAAAGAAAAAAAGAAATCGATCAAGTTATAAATAAATAGAAGTCGACCTGTTAAAAGGAATATTTTGAAGTTCAATTTTTTATTTTTTAATTGTGCGTTGACATAATATCATCTACTTGGTATTAACAAAAAAAAAAAAAAAAGAAAAAAAAACAAATTGTAAAGCGATTAAGCCGTTGACAATGTGGCATTAACTCACTACGACTCCTCCAACGAGAGAAGCTCCTAACTTAAAGGTTAAACCTAACACAAACTTTGAATTATTGAGACCAATCGAATAATTATATAAATTGTATAAAATTGAAAAAATAGCTTGATTTTGTACAGTTTTGAAAGCAATAATTGCGACGACACAGCCCCACGACAGCTCCGTTATTATTAATAAACGGACTAATAAACGGTCTCTTCCTCCCACGTGCCGGCCTCTTTTACCTGATCTTCTTCGGACCGAATATAAGATCGGCATCGGGCGCACCTTTCGGGTGATTATACTTTTGTCGCCTCTCGCGATTGAGATTGACGGTGACGGGTCTCGTGCTCTGATTAATCGCCTCTTGATAATCCTCCTCCTCCTGCCTCTCGGTTATGTTTAGGGTGAGCCTCTTGACCCTCTCCTTCTCCTCCTTCTGCTCTTGCTCCCGGTTCCTGAGATTCATCGCGAGCTCGGAGGAGACCGGCACCGCTAGATTCTTATACTGCTGCTTATTACCCTTGCGCAGCATAAGGACAAAGTCCATGGTGGAGCTGTCGGATGGTCCCTCCTGAAGCTGCTCGTACGTCTTCTTCGTGCTCTTTACGTGTAGGGGCACGGAGATGTCGACCTGCTGGGGCTTCACCGCGTCGCGCATCCTATCTTGGATATTGTCGGAGACCATTTTGTCGAGGGCCGAAAGAAAGTCGTCGTCCTCAGGGCAATGGACTCGTTTGGGTCTCGAGGGTAAAGCCGCTACCAGCTCCGACGTGTCCATCAACACGCCGTCGTTACATCCTTCGGAGAGGCTCTGATCGCCCTGTGTATTGTCCTGAGTGCCCTGGTGCTCGTCCCTCTCGATCCCCTCGTTCGTCCATTCTTCCTCGGACTGAGCTTCCGACAAATCCTCGGCCTCCTCGAAATGCAAATCCGAAATTATCTTGGGATCGCTGCTCTCCCCTACAATCTCCTCCTCCATCTCCGATATCGTGTTCATTTCGTTGCTATCCTCGCCGAGCTGATTCTGTTGTTGTTGTTGCTGCTGTTGTTGTTGCTGTTGTTGTTGTTGCTGCTGCTGCTCCGTCGTCGTTTCTAAATTCGGATAGAGGGTGTTGCGCAACTCTTCCACAGCGTTCTGCGCCTCTTTGAAGCTTTCAAACAGCTGGACCTTCGGTCGCAGCATTACCAGGGTGTCGCGGAACATGTATTCCATGCCCACGGGGAATGGATTTTCATTCGTCCATATTTGATCGGTCCTTTTGAACCAGTAGTAGTGCTGAAAGAATACAATGAAGTAGTCCAGCTTCTTTTTGCTCGAGCCTCCGCTAAAGTATTGGCCGCACGTTTCGAGCAGCGTGCAGACTAATCGAACGCGAAACAGATGCTCGGGGGGATCTAGGGGACTCGGCACACCGTGATCCATGGTCACGCCAAAGGTAATCAAGAGATAGAGTGTTCTGAATATGTCGCCGCTCTCCACCATTCGATAATTGTACAGCTCGCCGAGGTACTTAACCATGGCTATCCGTCGCTGATTGAATTTCGGCAAATTGGTCTCCATGCAGAGTCTGATGTCCTCGAGGACACCGTCAACGACAAGGGGACCCACGGCTTCGTAATGAGCGACGAGACCGGCCAAAAGACTGCCCACGCATCTTATATTTAAATATTTTACATTGTAGGCGGCTGTGAGGCACCTTATGGCATAGGAGGCAATGCCCTCGTCCTCCCAGTCGAGCTTTCTCATCCACTTCAAGACTTTGTCCGTATTGGTCTTCGAGAGATCCTGATAGAGGAGCTTTCTTATGAACTCGTGGATGGGGAGCCGATCCTTCTTGGTGATGATTCCCGTGCACTCGGGTGGATTGACGAAGTAATAGGCATTCTCGATAATCGTAACGTAACGGGAGTCGAGTGCCGTAACGGCCTTCTTCCTCATCATCTGCTCCAAATAGACTTTCGTGCGTTGATGGGAGTCCGGGGTGCAGAATAAAAATCTGCCGCAGGTTTCCAGTAGATTGCAAGCCATCTCGATGTGATGGTGAGTGAAGTGATGAAGAAGAACCTTTAGGCAGTACAGGGCCTCGATCTTCGAATAAAGCTTAAATTTAACGAGCTCGCCAATGTACCGCACCACTTTGATCTTCGACTCAACGTTGATTTGGTCTTTCTTGTGCACGTGGTATTTGAAGTCGTGCTTCAGCATTAGGCAGAGCTCGTTGCCCACTTCTGGCATCACTGGATGAAGAATTGCCGCGAGTCGCGAATAAAATGGTAGCAAATCCAAACGAATTCGCGATACTCCGAAGAGCGCCTTAATTAGCTTCTTTTTGTTTTGTTTTGTATTGAGATTCATGAGGAAGTCGACGGCGGCGTTATCGATCATCTCGCGATTCACGCAGTTAGGTAAGTGCGTTAGAAAAGCGTCGAGCAAAATCTTATTGCTAATGTTTATGACCTGGGGCTCCTCGACTTCGGGCTCGGCCTCTTCCACTTTTTCAATGTCTTCGAGCTCGTCGAACGTTAAATCTTCGTCTAGGACCTCTTCCGTTATCGCAGCGTCCGCTTTCTCTTGTTTTGGCGTGTCTTTGGTGTAAGAGCCTGGAAGAAAAACTGTCAAATCGGTTAGGACCTCGTAGAACCTCCTCGTCTCTTCGTCGCCCCACATATCCTCAAGCACACTATTTTCTTCCCCTTCGCTGATCATTTTTAAAGATTCGTCGGCCTCTGCCTTGACTTCGGTGTTGACAGGCAATTCTGGCATCGACTCGTCCAATGTGTCGGAGAAATTTTGCACGCTCGTCAATAGACGTTCGTATGAAAGTTGAAGGGCTTCCAGCTTCTCTTTTCTCTCCGTATTTAATTCACCTCTTGTCTGAAGAATCTTTCGATTTTGTTTCTCGAATGCTTGTAATTCCTTGTGCTCCTTTAACAGGTGTTTACATAAAGAATTATAATAATCGCGCAACAGTGACTTAACATTTTGCTGCTTATCCGGGGAAAGTAATTTACTTTTTGGTATCGCAACATTTAATCTATCCGACAGTTCTCTTATTCTCTTTGGCACAAGGCCCGCATAATCTTCTCCGCAATGACGACAGAAGCTTAATATTATGCTGGCATTGTTGTGCTCCTCCTTATCCATATTAATCAAGACCGTCAATACCGAACCTAACAGAGGAAGTCCTTGTTTATGGGTAAAAATACCGGCATTAATAAGCTCCGCGTAAAACCTTAAATCTACTCTGAGTTTACTAGGATTAGAAATTTTATCACCTACTTTTAAGGATAAAATTTTTTGCCAATTCTCAAAAAAATGTGTGGAGAATTCAGCGTACGTCTGATGCAGAAAGCTACAAGCTTTTATGGCCGGACCAACATCGGTCATCTTCAATTTTGCGTCCACCAAGGCCGTAGCAACTTCGCTTATATATTTGGTGAGATTTAAATTAATCATGTCTTTCATAAACAGTTCCAATTGGGCGCCGCTAAAGGTTTTTAACTTTTTTACAAAAGTTGTGTTCCTTTTGAGACTGGAATCCAGTTTGCTAAAGTGACAATCGGGTGGACGTGTAACATTAACATTCGCTGTACGGATTTCTTCCTTTATTGCTAAACGCTGTTCCGTTTCTTTAAGGTGCTCTTCAAAAAACTTATGGTCTTCCTCGGATACGCTATCCGGTTCAAGATTTTCAAGCGGTATTGACTCTTGTGTGGTCTCTGACATTTTCGTCAATTTTTTGTTATTATTGTAAGTTATAAAACTTATTATATCCCACCACACAATATTTTTGTTTTTATTATCAGTAAGGTTATGTTTATCAAGTGTGTGTCTGAAAAATAATTTTCTCATATTACAAGGTTATTGAGCTTGAAATAAAGGCCCAAGCTTAATTTTATCAATGATAATTGAACAATAAATTTCTTACCATTTAAATTTTAATTCTTCATATAACTTTAATTTAGCATTTTTATCAATTTCATACATTCCCAAACGTCATTTTTAGGTTACTGACATACAACCAAAATAATAATGATATTCGATTTTCGAGTTAAAACACTGCATAGGTATCTATATAAAAAATTCAAAAAAAATTTTTATTCGCAATATTAAATAAAATAAATATATGTCCTTAAAATTACTACAATAGCATAGACATTGTCTTATTGTTTTAAATGATTTGTAACATCGTTAACTAATGCAAACGTAATTATTTAGCGATATATATATATTTTGAATATCTATCAAAGTTTAAGATATTTTCTTATCATATTAACACTGAGAAATGTTGAACGACAATTTGAATATAAACATTCGGAAATTCATCGCACACGGATATTTGAAATATACCGCTTTGACGTATGTTTAATCACTTGCATATGCGGGAACTTCGAAACTAATTCAAGCGGCAATAGCTTAACATTTCTAAAAATCCTTAGAATATTTGTAGATTTTGAAATTCAGAAGCAATTTCTTTAGCGTCTGCATAAAGCCATCATTCTTTATTACAAATGTAGCATCAACAATCTCGTAGGGTTAAGATAATTTATGAATCTATGATTAATTCATATTATTGAAAATTTTCGATAATAAAAACAATAAGACATCGTTAACGACAAGATTATTTTGCTTATTTTTTCTCTTTACGAAGAAGACTATTATTGATAATCAGATAGTTGTGGTTTAATATTTAAAGCAAATTTGCAAGAGTTATCAAAGTTATTTGACAATTTGTTTTCGAATCCTATATAATACGAAAAATATGTAATAAATGTAAAATTTACATATAAGAAGCAATATTATAGTTGTAAATTACGCTCAAAATAGACAAAATTCCTCTCAATAAAATACTTCGAACTATTGAATTTAAATAGAAGAAAATAAGCGAATGTACAAGTTGTATAATATTGCATAATTTTATTGCCTTATTAACGAGTCATGCAGTATAGTTTGCAATTACATTTTTTTCTAATCTTACATATCAAATACAAATATTACGCTAATTTTAATTAATAAGCAAACCGTGTCTTCTATGAAAAATACGTCTGATAAGTAAACATCTTTATAAATTTTGAAAAATAAATCCTGTCACATTTAAAAGTAATAACAGTTTTTTTTTTTATTAATTTTGACGCAAACATTATTCCTTTCAAATTTTATAGATAATTTTTTATATTAGTAAGTAAGGTCGATATAATTTATAATTTAGGATAGGTAAAAATAAACAGGCCATATTTTGAAGAAATATATCTTTAATATTTTAATAGTTTGTTTATAAATAGCATAATTGTAATTAATATTAGTACAAATATTGTTGTTTTAATAATAAAATAAATTATATATTATACAATAATATTTATTCGTGAAATATGTAATATCAATACTTTATTCCAAAGAAAAACAGTTCCAACATAGAAGTAATATATATATATATATATATATATATGTGTGTGTGTGCGTGTGTGTGTATTTATATATATATATATAAACAGTAGAAATCAGTCATTTACATTTATAACATTTATATGACGTCGGCACCAAATTACGGTTAAACAGATGTAATGTACAACACTAATTAATTAATCAAAAAGTTATGATAAGTAAAGAAGCCATCGAATATGAATTTGGAGATTTTTTAATAATTATCACAAAGTATGTTGGCTACCATCTCTGTTTTGGCAAGTAAATATGCTCTACCTTTTTTTTTCTTTTTCAATGTTTAACCCAATAATGGATTCGTTTTAATAACTTATGAGTATAATGTTTTCTCGATCCATTCTTCCATTGTAAAAGTTGCTAAATTTGTATGTCGTGGATCTTTTTCTCGGAAGATATCTGTGATTATTTAACAAAATGGAAATAATAAAAAAAAAAAAAAAAAAAATAAATAATACAACTACAAAGCTATTATTCCTTACTTGATTCTATTAATGAACTTTACTAAACTTTTAAACAGATTTTACATTTATGCTTGGACATTCTTTGTTATCCGATCGAGGAATTGAGAGACAAGAAACGATGATTTTAATGTTGCAAAAGAATATATAATTATTTAAATAGAGATGGTGTTTATATGAATCACTAAATTCATTGAATTACATGTATAAATGACAGGTGCACACATACGTATGAATATGTATATTTTCATGCCACTGTTGCTAGAATATTTTTCTCGGAAAATATGATGCTTCGTATCGTATCTACTATTACGTATAAAAATAAGAATTTAAGAATTAGCTGCCATTATTCAAAGATGAGAGGAAAATCTTATAAACTTAAATATAAGCCTAAATACAGTTAGCATAAGAAATTCTTTTCTTATCGCCATTCATCATTTTCCAATTATTATTATTCCAATTATTATTATTCTTTCCAAATAATACGTAATCTTTAGTATACATGTATATATATATATATATATATATATATATATATATATATTTTTTTTTCATTATAATTTAATTACCGCTTAGTTTGTTCCGTTAATACGACGTAAATTCTATTTAAAAGTTTACTAAAATTATAATTCTCATTTTTAAATTCATGCAAAATAATTCTAGAAAGCTTGAGGATCGTAAGGATGTTCTAATAAATCATATTGCGTTATATCTTTACCAATCATGGATTTCAATTTGATAGCACACATAATATAATCGTCAAATGCTATCATTCCTTCTTGCGTACCATATCTATGTACTAAAATATTAAGTACGTGATTATTTAATCTATATCCTGCTCTATTCAGTGCTTCTCTCAGTTCGAATGCGCTCATGTAGCCAGTGCCGTCTCTGTCATACAATCTGAAGATCGCCTGACAATAAGAATAACAAAGCATGTAAATATAAAGTTTGTTTGATCGTTGTAACAAATCTTTGAAAGATTATTAGATAAACATGAATTAGAATCAAATTAATATTTTATCGCCAACGCAAAGCGATAGAATGAATAACGAATGAAAAAAGCTCTTACCCGCCAGCTTCTTATGTCATTCCACAATGTCTTAAACTCTTCAAATCCTAGTTTCCCAGAATGATCTTTATCAAGCATCGCCACCATACTTCGACATACGTCTTTACTGAAGCCTTGTTCGTGTGTTTCTACAAGAGAGAGAGAGAGAGAGAGAGAGAGAGAAAGAGAGAAAGAGAGAGACATGTTATTAAATACAATTGGTGATTGTTGCCGAGAAAAAGGTCTTGTTCACACAACAAGCGGAATCGTACGAAGCACATGCGCATGTAATAATATGCAACGGTAAATAATAAAAAGCTTATTGATAATTGCAGACAACAAGCTTTGCGCGTTCTTACGCGTTTAATTTTTCTCAGACCCAACAAGCATTCGTCGCTCGGATTAAGAAAAAAAAAAAAAAAAAAAAAAAAAAAAAAAAAAAAAAAAAAAACAACAACAAAAAATAACCACATACAGTATTACAGATAGAGCATCGCAACATTAATTTGCAAGCGTACTCGATACACAAAAAAATCGCGCAACTATCTCATTGAGAGACTGCAATACGATAAATGAGCTGCTTTGCTTGAACGTCCACTACACACGTGTGTGATATTATTTGTAAGATCATAAAAATGCGAATATACATTACCTAATTCTACATCAGTCTTATTGTCCTGTTCTTTATTACAAATAATACCACAGAGCAGGGAGATAATAGTATCGATGAAGGAACCATCTTCTTGTGGGGGTTCGGGTTTACGAGCCTCGCTATGACGTGCTGGTAATTCTACCCGTAAGACACACAGCTACATGTTAGGATTAACTCGTACATACGTGCATTTGGGTTTTATAAGCTACTCTTACACAACTAAGTAAATCCTGGGGTTTGGTCACCTTTCGATAATTTGATATAATGTGATGATCTTATGTGAATTATCAACTATTTTCTTCGTCATATCATATTTTGTTCTACAAGTTATTGCGACAAGCAAAACGCGTACTCGACGCCTCAAAGAACAAACCAATAAGTCTCTCTGAGACAAAACTTACACATAAATCAACTTCTCGGCAATTATAAGCATTGTAATACACACTATTATTTGTCGTAGCTCGTATTATCTTTTTAATTATTTGAAAATGTTAGTTCACGATTTTTATTGAAAACAATTGCGTCATGATTAATCAGCAAGCTACATTACTCTCTCCTTTCGCTTAATTTTACAATTACAATATACACTCGAGCATTAACAGTTTTTATCCACCATTTTTATCCAATTATTTACGAACATTGTCGACTGCTCATCCGTCATAATAAATACTAATACTAAGCAACAAGAGATATATAATGCAATTTCTGCTCATAAATAATAATAACACTTTACAGATAGTTTTAACGAAGCATGGCTTTCTCGCAACTTTCACAAAATTAACATGATATAACGAGAAAAAAATGAAATACATAGAGACACGTAATTAGTTCAAAGTAAAGGAAGGTGTCCATATTTCATTCAGGATAATAATAAAAATTTTGAATATAACTTTCGCGTGAATTAACTTATACAATATATCATTGGGTGCTAAAGTCTTAAGTAATGAACAGCGAGAGATCTTTAATATATAAATACTTTTTTATAATTGAGATAGACCCAAATGTATTTATGTGACATAGTGTAACAAAAGCTGTTATTTTAGCAAAGTTTAGATGGCAATATTTAATAGCAAGTTAATAAAAAAAAAAACAAAAAAAAAAAAAAAAAAAAAAAAAAAAAAAAAAAAAAAAAAAAACAAAAAAAAAAACAAAAAAAAAACAAAAAAAAAACAAAAAACGATGTAGTGGGATTAATTGTTGATATTATTTTGAAGCTTATTTTCAGTGTAGCTAAAATTATTGTTGTTATTGATTAATATTCAATGCAGCTACACATGCTACTAAATATTAAAAAGATGCAGCTAATGGATGCGATGGACAAAATATGTATGCACAATTTCTTAAATAATGTTTACCATCACCAGGTAAAATAATAAAAGTAATAAAATGTTATCCAATTTAGTTAAGATATATATGTTTGTACGTACGTAAATTAAATTATTTATTCGCCATATGTATTAGAATGTATGGAAATTAAAACGTAAAATGAAATAGTAGTGTAACTGTCATTACAGTAGAAACGAAATTTGTTCAAAATGTACTTTTTTTAAAAGAAGTTGAAAATCATAAAATAATCATAATAACGATAGTACGAATGTTTTTAGAATCATTAGAAAATGGTATATACCTTTACGCATAGCATAATCCAAAATTTCTTTTAATTCCATCCAATCGACTTCCATGTCATCTCCTGCAAGTTTTCTAAAGAATTCTCGTACTTTATCTTCATTTCTATCAACTGGTTCCGGTTGAACCTACAATTATATACATTTTCTTTAGACTAATCGATATATTCTTTTTCTCGTTATTTAATTAACTAAGCAATCAAATTTTCGTTAGTTATTAATAATATTTTTTAACATTTTTCGCAAATTGCTCTAACCTTGTCGTCACCATCATCGATATTACTTTGGGTAGGATTTAGTACCTAAAAGTTAAGCAACAAACATGCCAAGTGTTAATTTTTACAGTGAATTTATTCTAAAATGATTAAAACTCGATAATATTATTTGTAAAGTAGCTACGAAAAAGTGAATAGTGCCCACTCGTGTTAAAAAAATAAGCGTCAAAATCTGTTAAAGCTCATTTTACAATTAGACCCATAACAAAATATATTAATATCACATTTGCGCCACGTGTATTAATTTCCTTATTAAAAATAAATGTTTATTTTGGTCAATTTAACTATCTACAGTGAAAGTGTTGTTAATCAAGCATTACTGAACACATATCGTTAGATTTTCTTTTACCTACCGTATCATCAACATCACCTATTCCAACCTCCTCGTCATTTTCTCTATAAAAAGTAAAAAGAAAAAACAAACACATTAACATTATGCAGTTAGTTTAGTGTCAATTATATATATTGATATAAGTGATACACATACTCCAGTGTACTTTTATTTTCTGAGAATATACGAAGCAAAAATTCAGCTTCTTCGTTAGGATCGAATGTACTGGGAATTATACAATACACTCCAGGTGGTAATTTAAAGCGGCAACTGACTTCTCGCAAATTAATAAATGATGGCGAACGTGCTGCCGATGCGTTATATTTAAAGAAATTAATATCTATGGGTTTCGGTACATAGTCTGGATTTTCCAACTAAAATGACGAACAAACAGCAGTCGGTTAATAAAATTGTAGCACGAGTGATCTCAGCGATACTTAATAATAAAAGGCCTCTAACATACGTTTAACAGTCGAATAAGTTTTCGTAATGAAATAAAAATTACGACTTACATGATATATGGCAAAGCCAATTGTGAGACAATCGGCACCTACTCTTTTTTGTTGTCTTCTATTTTTTTGCATCAATGCAACGATAACAGTACATTTATCATCATCTTCATCTGGATATTCTAAAGTTATACGATACTGTGGATTGTGACAGAATGTTTCTAGAATGTAAATAACAATTTTACTACTTATTATTAAATATTATAATGAATAAAATGCTTTCCAAAGAAAGAAATTTAATTACCTAAAAAGTTTCTACAACCACCCGCTGTAACTCCCCTCACCCATTCGCCCTCAAATACACTCATTTCCCATTTTTTCTTGCCTGCGTTAAGATCATCTTCCGTTAAAGAATCGGGATTCAAGTTACAAATTTCTAATCTTGTAAAATAGTGTTTGAAATCTTGGAAAGACATCCAAAATTCACCATCAATGTCAAATGTCAGTCCCAACTCTTCTTTTTCATAGTCGGGTATAAATCTCCATTCTGGTGATCTGAAAATATTTAATTCACAATGTTAAACATCAACATTACAGGCAAGTTCTCTTATAGCAAATAAAAGAATTAACCCATCGCTCCAAGCGCCATTCCATTCAGCTTCGTTACCCCATGGATTTCTCAATCTCAGTAATGGAATTTTTCCCGACTGTCCTGGTGTTTGAATATCCACGTATTTCACTTTAGTGATACTGTATGCGTGTCCTCTAATGAGACCCTGGGGTGTATTTGCTTCCAAAATATTTGGATCGGGCTACGAGAGGTATTAATTTTTTTATTATTAATATTATACTCGGTGTAATTGAAAAGGAAATTATATACGTATGTATGTATGTATGTAGGTATGTAGGTATAGGCATACGTATGCAGATAAACTTAAGAAGGTACGGTCTAAAGCCTAGGTTAAGTAGGTATTTAATTGATATTCAGCCGAGAACAATGTAGAAAAAGAAGATAAAGTGACAAAATAAAAGAGAATATTATAATAGCATACGTAACCAAAAGTCTTCTCTAACAATTTCTTAATGCAAACGATAGTGGTAATTTTAAAATGCCGCACAACAGCAATATTTAACAGGAATGGACGATTAAAGTAGCTTGGAAAATTATATCAATGATATACTATTATTATAATTTATCGATATCAACACACTTAATATATTAGTATTGGCAATAAAGTTTGGTTACGCGTCACCTCGATAGAACAGCCCATTAATGAATTTCTTTCGTAGGCCTTGAGTAAAATGCTAAAGAGATTGGGCGGTGTCTCATCCATCTCGTACATCTCGGTGACACCACCGGTAAAGTCCTCCATAGCCTCGCAGGTGGAGCCACCCTTAAGGGCCTCGTACGAACCATGCAACTTTGCATAGGCCTTCTCCAAGAGAGCACTCCAGAATTCATTGTCCTCTGCCGAGCGCAAATACAATAGACGGCCATCGTATGTGGGCAAGCGATCGTCGATCACTACGTCCACCCACTTGCCGTATTGCCAAAATCTTAAAAGCAATAATCCGTTTAAGGCTTTGTTAGGAACACATAGTTTGGTCGAGTCCTCGATCGTACGATTAGCTTTATAATAAAGTACGCGAGAAGTAAATAATTTTAATGTCTCAACAATCGTGGGAATGATGAAAATACTTTGGGATTAAACGTGATTAATGGCAATTAATCTTAATGTATATTCAATTAATCATGAAAATTGGAAAATTTGTAATTGTTTAATTAGAGCTCAAATTATTATTAAACTTCTATTAAATTTTAGAATAGTGCACTTGTATCCAGACCATAATGTATTTTAGTTTTAATCGATGTAAAAGAGACCAAAGCGAAACAAAATTAAACCCACGAATGAACATACATAGACAATACTATCTGCGTAGCAATTCCGCTCGAGTTTATGTAAATGTCAATGCACGAATGGTATTTAAAGTTGCAAAAATTAAATGAAAATACATGAAAGTAGCTGCTTAAGAATCTTAAATGGTAAGTTAATCTTAGGTAATACAATGCAGGCAGTATACCTAAAATGAAATATACCCGCATAATTGTCATTAAAGCTTTGATCTTCGGGTACAATTTGGAAGAACAAATGTGGATGCAATGTTAAATTGGCTACAGCGGCGAGCAACCAACAATCACCCAATTCGCCTTGTTGGACGTCGAATCTCGAATAGCCCTCGACAAAAAGCTGAGGGTTGTCAGCTATTTCCTATGTCGCACAAACAAGCAAGCGATAGTATGACTTTTAAGGCTTACTTTAGTTTATATCGATTATTTATTCATTTTTTCTACCATTGGACGTCTCCATTCTATATATCTCGCTGGTCTTTTGGAATAAAATATAGAATGATCTTCAGCTGGAAATTCTGGATCTTCAAAGAGTACTCCTTCGGAAAGACATTGTTGTCTTAGTTGATTAAAATCTTGGACATCGTTTCTGGATTTCGTCCCAAATCCTCTTTCTCCCAGCTAAGAGCAAACAAATACAAAATTAATTTCATCGAATGGAATTTTTTACATTTATGCAAATTGTTTAAAGATACACCTGTCATTTCAACACAAATAGACATCAATTTTGTTTGTTTTCTAATAAAGCTCTAAATAAATCTAATATTATATCAATCGTATTTTATTTCTATTTGATTGAAAGAGTTTTATCGCGACTTACAACCTTTACCACATAATAATATTATACACAAATGACAATATTAATATTAAAGAAGTTCCCCCTGGGAATCTGGGTCATCAATTTTAATATTCCCAATTTGTTTACGACGCTAATTGTTTTAAACTGAAATCAATGCCCATACAATTCAACGAAGTAAGGATATTCATTTTTCATCAAAGACTACCTACATGGGTGTGACCACGATAATCAAATTACTTTATACGGGCTGGGCAACCAAGCCGATATTGAATAATTGTTCTAGTACTTGTAATGGATTTAACCCAACGTTAAAAGGCCAATACACAAATACATCGATTAAGAAAAATTCAAGACTTTGCATAAACTGTACTATCGTAACAAAAAGAAATCTCGCTCCCATAAAAACTATATCAACATAAATTATGTTCCTTTCTCCCCCTCCCTCGCCCCTATTTCATTATTCTCAAATTACAATTAATATAAATTACATTGAAGCTAACGCCATATGCAAGGGTTGTCAAACTTTTACTCAACTGCCTACCATTCAACGCCCCATATTACATGCAAAATCTTTATGCAAAAAATTAAACAATAAAGTGGATTACATTGCATTGTATTGCGTAGGATCGTGGGGGGTGCATTGGCAATTGATAAGCAAAAGATAAGTTTATGCCCTCGATAGGCAATGAGCAATGAAAGCTCGATTCCATACTAGGACTAATCCAACTACTTTTGCGATTAATCTCCCATTATTCTTGCGTCGTCTCCTCGTACGAACACAACAGTCGACAGCGGCCGAGAGTCGACTGCATCCAACATCCATTGGAACGCAAAAAAAGCCCTCGTACCACTTTGATATTGAAGAGCGAAGGGAGAACTCGTTTCACGTCAATGTGCTCCTTGACGAAGATGTCGGAACCCGGTTCCCCAGATCCGTGGCTATACGAATACGGATCCATGTCACTCTTCCTCTTCCAACCCGACGACCTCCGTGCACTTTCTCGCCCTCGCAAGCACAGTGGGATGCACGTAACGTGAGAATTATTTACGGGCGTCGTTCGATCGCTCACATCTCATACTTGAACCGTTCTCGATAATATTATATCCCTCCCTCATACGCCATTAAATTCCCATTTACCAATTCGCGCAACTCCGCCTGCCACCTGCTGCCGCGACCCAGTGTTATTTATAAAAAATGCAAGTAGCGTACGCGCGACCGAGAGCCCCGCGTTAATACGTCACAGGACACAACAGACTTTCCCGCGCTGTTTGCCTCTCGATTCGCCTCGGCTACGGCGACGTCATTTACACGATAATATAACTGCTCGGCCAATTGGTCGCGCCTCGCCGTTCTCGCGTCCTCACCGCGACTCGAACCAGCATCCGCTCGCCGATTCGCAATTGCCGGGGCCGGGGGAGGG